ATGGTGGACAGCCAGGTGGTGGAGGGGAGTATGAAGTTCAGGTGAGTGGGCCCTGGGGTGAGCTGGCCACACCCTGTAGGGACCTCCTGGGCTCTGCTGTCGTCCACAACTGACATGAGCCCCTGTAGACCTCACTGTGGTCACCTGTAAGTCACCTGCACGGGGAGGAGCCGATTGGGCCAACTAGTGCCCTTGGGGTGGGCAGGGCCCCAGGGAAAGGAGATCCCACACCCCCAAAACGGGGCTTTGGGTCCCCTGCTATGTGGACCTGCTGGCCTTGCCTCTCTCCAGGAAGGGTTTGGGTGGACCAATGGAGTGGCACTGATGTTCCTCGACCGCTACGGTGACCGGCTGACCTCAGGGTCCCCGCCATCCCACCTGGTGTCCCACTGTCTGGTGGCCACTTTTCTGCTCAACATCCTGCTGGGCTTCTTGCCATGGTGACATGAGGATGAGGATGAGGAAGCACAACCTCACTGCCTGCCTCCACCTACCTGTACTTTCTCCTCTGGCCCCATCTCCAGTCTCATTAAACCTCTTGATCCTCCCCTCCCTGTTCCTGGTTCTCCTGCCTCCATCTCCCAGCTGTCTGTTTACAGAGCATCAGGTACAGGGTGGGGACGTGAGGTCAGGGGCTGCAGCCTGAGTCCCTCCTGGAACATTTACTAGGGTGTAGATCTTGTTCTGGGGAAGATTAAGCTCTACCACCCCAAGTACCGGCTGATACCCAACCCATCCTGGTCTTCCACACACTTACAGAGTCCAAAATGCTTTATTGTTCTGCTGAAATGTTTACAAATACTGCAAAACTCCCATCCCAGACCCAGGCGACCAAGGGCCCAGTGCTGGGGAGGAGGGCTTAGTGTTAAGGCGCAAAGGGTTGAGGCCAGCTGGAGGCTTGACCCTCCCCTCTTTTTCTGTCATCCTTTGGAGGTTGAAGAGAAGGTGGCCACAGCTCAGGGCCCTCTGCCTCTGGCTCTCCCTCCACTCACTCATTCCCTCCGGGGGGACCCTGGGCACCGTGCTTCTGTCAGGAACTCAACCCCGTCAGGACCAGAGGAGGGCCCTCCTAGCTTCCTCTGCCAATCAAATTGCTGCTTTTCTGGAGGTGGGTCCCCTGGTGTCATCCCTTCTGGCTCTAAGCAAGGCACGAGTGGAAGGGAGAAGGCTGGAATAGGGGGCCGGAGACACAGGCAGGGGGCAGGGAGGTGTTCAGTCCCCTCCTGCCATGTGAGATGCCCATGGGCATGGGCTGGAGAGATGACGGCACATACATACCCTCACATGCCCTCACATACCCTCACATACCACAGCTGAAGCAGTGAGCTGAGCCATGGAGCTAGCCACAGCAGTTAGTACGTAACCATGACGATGAAGTAGTCACCATGGCGACCATGGTGATGGGTCTGCAAAGGGGATGGGGCTGGGACCTCAAGGATGATACCTGAGGTCTCTGGCCTCTGAGCAAAGTAATGAAAAGTACAAATGAAGGAGAACAGCGAGGCAGAGCAGGGCTGAGCAGTGCTTCTCCTGAGCTGCTACCCTACTCCAGATGTGGCTCTTCTGCTCAGCCCCCTGGGCCCCTGCAGAGGGGTTGGGGCAAGAGGGGATCTTTGGCAGATTCTGGTACCATAATTTGTCCTTTACAAAAAGAAAACAGGCTGTAGAGAGCAGATGCCAGGTCAGAGTTGAGAGGCCCTCTCTGTGACAGCTCCTCAGGCCTGCATGCCCAGGAGGGACCCTAAAACTTCTGGGCTCCTGGGAGGCAGCAAAGTCGGCCCCCACCCCTTCCTCTCTGGCTGGTTCTTCAAGGACCTGAACCCAGAACCTCACAACACCAGGCTCCTCATACATCATTACAAAGTCTTCTTACACAAAAGCCCCTGGAGCATGAGGGCCAGCACCCAGTGTGCAACTCTCTCCAGGTGACTCGGCATGAGTCCTGGGCTGCCATGGGGGTCAAGAAGACCACGGTGGTCAGTTCATGAACTGAGTGTAGCCCTCAGCCCCTGTGACAATGACATCCATCCAGATGCGCATGGCCTCTGCAGATGGGGCCACCATGTAGTACAGTCGGTCATGGGTCTTCACGCAGAAGGTGAGGGCTGGGTTTGGGCTCTGTTGAGGGAAAAGCAGGTCTAAGATGGGGTTCACCCATGCCCAGAACATTCCCCTCACCTGCCTCTTGTCTGCCTCTCCCCTTACAGTCCCCAGGAAGCCCTGGAGCTTAGGGCTGAGTTCTAAATAGGCCTGAAGCCTAGTCCCAACTGAGCCCATGTGGGCCCAGGCTGTTTTGACCTCTCAAAGCCCTTGGGACCCAGGCAGAGGTGTATCCTGCTAGAGCATTAGTTCTTGGCACCCTTTAGGATCAAATGAGAGTACAAGAGAATCAATCACAAAGGGCCAGGGAGGACCAGAGCCCCCCTCAGCAGAAAAGAGGATACTGGACTAGAACCCCAGAGAAGCAGAGGTCAGGGCTGGGTGGGGTCAGAGGGCTGCTGGGAGGGAGGCTGGCTTGCATTAGGGCCGCTGGCTCGGCCTCAAACATCTCCTTTCATCAACTCTCCTTTTGGTCTTTGTGCCCCTCCCCCCTTTTAGCTTTCCCTGCTGTGTTGCTTGTGCCCACAGGGTGACCTCTGCTGCCAGTGCCAGTGCAGGAAGCAACAAGCAGGACTCAACCAGAGGCACTCCTTGCTTCCGCTCTGCCCTCAGACCTAGGGCAAATTAGAGAGATGGAGGAAGATGTCAAGGGTCAGAGGCTGGTGGGCATAGAAGGGGTTAATGTGCACAGTTCTGGTTACAGGCCCATGGGAGGGGTACCTCAGTCACCATAGTGAAGCAGAAAAACCTCTTCTGGGAAGGGGAGAGGGAGAAAAGGAAAATTAACAAAGAGAAGGAGGAATGGGCCCAAGCCTCTGCAGAGGGCAGGCTGGAGGCCTCTGCTCCCAGAGCCCTGCTGGGCCATCCCTTCCCCATGGCTGTCCCTGCTGCCCTCCCTCTGATGTCCTCCACCTCTGACCTTGGCTGCACTGCGCAGGTGGTCATAGTACACCTCTTCGATGGCTTGGAAGTAGATGACACCCTTCAACTTCGTCTCATGCTTATCTGCAAAGGAATAAGGGTTGGGCTAAGGAGGCCAAAGCATAGAGCACCACGGCCCTGAGTTCCCCCATCTGGGAAATGTGGGGACAGTCCTGGCCCCCCAGGACTCCCAACACAGAGCCCCACAGGACACAGCAGTGCTCGGTCTCGCTCATAATTAAGAGAAATGCAAATTAGAACTCTACTGAGGAGCTGGGCTTGGTGGCTCACACCTGTAACCCCAGGTACTTGGAAGGTGGAGATCAGGAGGATAGAGATTCAAGGCCAGCCTGGGCAAAAAAATTAGTGAGACGCCATCTCAACCAACAAACCAGGCATGATGAAGTGTATCTGTCGTACTAGCTACGAGGGAGGTCACAGGTAGGAAGATCACAGTCCAAAGCTGGCCCTAGGTAAAAACATGAGACCCTGCCTGAAAAATAACTAAAATGAAAGGCCAGGGGCATGGCTCAAGTGGTAGAGCACCAGCCTACAAAGCACAAGGCCCTGAGTTCAAATCCAAATCCCAAAGAAACACCTCTAGTGAGATGCTCCTGTTCACCTATCAGAATGGTAAAGATACACAGCGTGCTTTCAGCATGGCTGTGGTGGAAAACAGGAAGTCTAATAAAGACAGGTGGGAGTAAAACTCTTATGGACAATTTGGCTACATCTATGAAAATTAAAAAAGACGCCAGGCATGGTGACCCACACCTGCAATTCCAACGCTCAGGATGCTGAAGCAAAAGGATCAAGAGTTCGAAGCCAGCCTGGACTACATAGTGAGACCCTGTCTCCACATGAATAAATAAATAAGCAAACAAATAAATAAGTAAATTAGAAAGGTATTTGCCCTTTGACCTACTGATTATACACATAAGAATTTATCTTACGTGTGTACAAAATGACAAATTTACAAGATTATTCACTGCAGTTTGCTTGTAGAAAAAGACTAAACGAGCTAAGCATCCATCCAGTGGGGTTGGACTAATAAGTTCTAGTGTACCATGGATGGAATATGACTCAGCTGTTAAACACAATGGTACAGAATTATCTGACACAAGGATAGAGTGAGAAATAAATCTATCCAGTACACCTAGTTATAGATATATTTGACCCCGAAAGACATCTAAGACACATTAGGAAGGAAGAAGGTATGTTCTTTACCTTTTGTGTAAGAAAAAGGGGTAAGCACATGTGTTCACGTTACCTATAGCAGGTAGGGGCATATTTCCCAACTTAAACTTTCCCGTGTATTTTGATTTTTGAACCATATGGTTCCATTTACCTCCTGCTGAAAAAGGAAGAAGACACAACACCGGAGCCCTGCTGAGCTCTGTCACTCAACGTGCTCCCACATAGCACACGGCATCCGGCATCCGGAGGTCAGGGTTGCAGGAGGGAGGAGGGCAGACTGGCAGATTGGTGGTGAGCACTTGGTGCAGAGGGCTTAGAGCACCACTGAGGAAAACTCAGGGCCTAGGCCCCTGGACTGTGACAAACGCTGCTCAGATGCTACAAGTGACACCCTTGACTTTGAGCCAGCGTGGCAGGAGAGGCCACACCAGTCACTAAACTCAAGAGGTAACAGCTGGCAGCAAGCTCCTCCCTGTGCCTCTTTGCCCCCATCCTCTGGGTTATTCAGGCCTGATTCCTGGACCCCTGCCTTGATGGTCCTTGCTCCAGCCTCCTAAGGGCTCTGCCTCACCCTCCTTCCCTCCACTCATCTTCCATGGTCCTGTCCCTGTCCCTCCCCGCAGGGATGAGCTTCTGAAAGCAAATCAGATCCTGCTCCTTCAGCCCACAGACTTCTCTGCTGGCTCCTCTTTGGGGAACCAGCTGCCTCCTTGGCTTGGCCATGGCCACTCACAGGCTGGTGCCAATGTGTCCCTCCAGCTTGTCTCCCAGCCTCCCTTGCACCAATGCCAAGTTCTTCGGAGCCAGCTAAGCCTCTCACTGCCCCTTAACAGTCGGTTTTCCATGTGCTGGAACGGTCTCCTCCTGCCCATTCCCAAAGCAACCTCCTAAGCAATCTTTAAGACCCATTGCAAATGTCACCACCACGACACATACTTGTGAATCCTCTGCATAGAACTTACCATGGTGAACCTGAATCCTCCTTTATCCACTCATAGTTTTGCCTACTCCAACACCAACAACTATGTGCCAGGCATACAGCAGGTGCTCAATCAATGTGAAATGAATGAGTCCTAGGCACTCAGATCTGAGAGAAGTTAGAAACGCTTCTCTTACAGGCTGGGGGTGAAGTTCAGAAGTAAATCGCTTGTCTAACATGAGCAAAGTCCTGGGTTCCATCCCTAATGCCACAGAACAAAACAAAAACGCTTCTCCTAGAAAGCTCCAGTGCAATGGGAAGTGCAGACACCAAGCCTGTTTACTAGGACTCCAGGAGTGCACCCACGCATCTGAGTTGTCAGGAGTCTGAGACACAAGAACACATTCAAAGCACTCAGCAGTGTCTCGAACGTAATGTGGCATCTGTCACTACATCATTATGTCTTGGGCTGATGTCACATGACAGACAGACCCCAGACAACTGCAGAAGCTCAGAAAAGGAGCTCCAGGTAAGGTGGAGCCTCCAAAGACTTCCAAAGTCTTATCTGATGTGATCCTTTCCCACAGTTCTTTCCACTGGGCAGGAAGAAGAAGGGTGCAGGCCCACCTGGGTCCTGGTCCTCAGCACAACTCCAACATTTCCTCTTCCACACAAGGACCCTGGCTCCAGGCCTGGCCACCCCTCCAGACGCTGCTTGCCCTCTCTCCTTCCTTCAGTGGAAGTAGTAACACGCTCTGCCCTCACTTCCTCACTACCCACCTATCCTAGGTCTTGTGCAATCTGGCTCCACCGCCCCCTCCCGTGCACAGCGGAAAGCCCCCTCTCCACTAGCTCCAATCCCTGAGTCCCATGGCCTTTGGGCCACATTCTCAGCCTGTCTGAAGCATCCATTATCACTGGTTAACACCTCCGGCTTGCAAATGTCTATTTCCTTGGCTGGCTTCCTTCCCTGTTTCTGCTGCCCGCCTGAACTTGGTCTCCTTTTGTTTCACAGACATGAAGGATGGGAGCATTTGCCAAGTGCCAGCCCAGCACCTGGCACGTGGTCAGTGCTGGCTGCCTGCCTTCTGCCCTTCTGCCTCTGCCGGATTCTCCTCCTCCAGCTTCTACCCCCGCCCTGGAAGCGGGCTGCTCTCCACCTCTGCTCTGCCTTGTTAGAGGCTATGAGACCTTGGGCAATTCACTTAACTTCTCTGAGCCTCATTTTCCTTCTCTGTAAAATGGGTGTTATATTTGTTATATTTAGTGCTTTTCTCATAGACTTACGAGAAGAATTAAATGAAGTAAGGTGTGCAGTGCTGAGCACAGCTCTTGGCTCACACACGTGCTCGAAAAACTGTGCTATTCACAGTTGTGTCGGTCGTATTACTATCATTCTCACAGACTGCCTCTTACCCTCACCTTTCTCCTACATCAGATGTCCCTCAACCTCAACAAGGCCAAAACGGAGCTCTGTTCCTCATGCCTCCTTCTCTCTCTCCCTCATGCCTGCTTCTCTCTCTCCCAAGAAAGTCCTTTTACCACCCCAGCACAGGTTGGAAGGCAGGGAAACCTGTGGCTCTGTCGCTATATTCAGAGCCCAGACAGTCAGGGAAGGCTTCTTGATGGGGGTGACATTTGATAAGGGGAAAGCAGGGCACTTTGGGCCTAGGGTCCCTGGCATCAACCCTGCGGGCTAACTAGGAAGCCTGACTTCCTGCTCTTCCTTCCTTTGCAATTGGTGAGACTGGGTGACTGGCTAGAAGGCCCACTGTGACTTGCAGACAGATATGACATGCCCACTTCCCAGCTGGGGCATTTAATGGCAATGCAAGGTCCCTTAAACCTCTCTTTTCTCTCTGCGCCCATGGCCAGCATTGTTCCAGAAAGGTGTGCTCTGAAGCAAAGATAAGCTGACATGGAACAGGGCCCCCACCAACTCCGAAGACAGGTGTGGAGCACAGAAGCAGCACTGCAGCTGTGAGCCGTGCACAGCACTCCCTAGCCTCCTTTCACTAGGAGACCATCAGCATCCCACACTCCATGTGGGAAAAGCCAGAGGGAGTTTCAGGGATAGGAAACTACACTGGAGGCTAGGCGAGCAAGCAGGGTGTGCCATCCGCCTGCTCCCAGCACTCCTTGACTTTTGCTTACCTGCTTGCTTTGGACTCTCCGAGGGAATCTGTCCAAGGGGTTGGTGTTGGTATCCCCTATCAGCAAACCCACTGTGCTTTGTTTTAACTCTTCGTTCAACATCTGCCTTCCTCACAATAAGTTCCAAAGGAGCGTGCTGTGGCCATTTTGCTTGTTCCACAGTCTAGGATTTATTAGATGCTCAGTAATATTGCAGAGTGAGTGAGCAAACAAATGAATGAATAAATGGAGGTGAGCCAGGTACACTGTACATTTTCAGAGAGGGGAGAAAAAGGCCAAGTCCAAGCCTCTGGCACCTACTTGGAAGCCTGGCCTCCTTCCAGAAGACCAGCTATCTAGGGTGTCAGTGCCCAGGGGTCCTGGCTCTGGCCAGCCCCCAGGGAGGCCCTGAGGAACTCACCCACATAATAGGAAAGGGTCCGCTTGAGCCGGTCAAAGACAAACCAACGCTTCTTCCACGACTTAATCTTCCCGCCCATCTTGACCAAGTAGCCCCGGCAGACCTGGTGGGAAGCAGGAGTGAGGAAGTACCCAAATGTGCAGCCCCTGAGCCTTTCTCCCCAAGCACCCTTCTTAAGTGCACACCGTCACCCACTCACCAGGTCCTGGGACAGACCTGGTTAGGTTGGGACAGCCACTGAGGCCACTATGCCAAGGCCTCAGGAGGTGTTTCTGACCATGGGGCCCATCATCCTGGACCACATGGGCCTGGTACCTTGCTGCTGAGTATCACGTGCAGGCAGGTGTCTACCCCATGACCTGATGACTCAATATGGGTCTTCAGGTCAAAGTCCTCCTTTCGGATTGGCAGGTAGCGTGTCAGGGGCCGTGCCTGGAGACAGAAGACCAGATCAGCAGTCTCCTCTCTTTCTCCCTCATTTCCCTGTCCCTTCTCTTTAGTCCTGAAACCCCACAACCTGACATCAACCCTTCCCAGCCCCATAGTTGCCACTCTGGTTTCACAGGGAAAGTGGAGACCTAGAAAGCCTCTGCCAACTGTATGTAGGCCCAGGCAAAATGTGGAACAGCTCCTTGCTCATTTTTCCCACCTATGACCAAGACACAGCCATCCTCATCTTGTCCCTGATCCTCCTTTCCCTCCTGGGCTGAACAGAGCAAAACAAGAGACCAGATGTGAACATGCTCTGGGAAAAGATTTCCATTAAGAAAGCCTCTCTCCAGGGCTGGGGCTGCAGCTCAGTGCTAGAGTGCTTGCCTCACACACGCAAGGCCCTGGGTTCAGTCCCAAGCATATATATTTAAAAAAAGGCAGGTGCAAGTGGCTCACTCCTGTAATCCTAGCTACTTGGGAAGCTGAGATAGGGAAAATCTAATTTCCAGGCCAGCCCAGGCAAAAAAGTTTGCAAGACACCATCTCAACAGAAAAAAATGCTGGGCCTGGTGGCATATGTGTACCATTCAGCTACTGTGGGAAGCAAATAGGAAGGTTGTGGTCCAGGCCTGCCTGGGTAAAAAGGGAGACCCCTATCTCCAAAACAACAAGAGCAAAAAGGGCTGGAGGTGTGCCTCAAGTGTAGAGTACCTGCCTAGAAACCGTGAAGCCCTGAGTTCAAACCTCAGTACCACCAAAAAAAGAAAGGACCTGGTTGTTGGATTATATCCCTGTCAGTTTCCTTATGTAAAATAAGGACTTTAAACTGGATACTCCACTTCTGCTACTAACTACAATTCTTAGTCAGCTGGAATATTTTTCTACTTCTCCTTTCCCAGAAGAACCTTAAAATGGCAAGGAAAGGAAACATCCTAAATTATTTAAAGAAAACATAAAACATACTGCTTCCAAGAAGAACCCCAAAGATGGGCTGACTCAGCCCCCACCTCACCAGATCCTGATGGCCCTGAAGCCATGTCTGAGCCTCAGGATACAGGCTGAAAGAGGGAGTCCCAGGCCTTTAGGGACTGGGGCAGGAAAGAGGAACCAAGCGTCTGACAAAGACTCCAACCACAGAGGTGAAACTTGCAGAGCTCCTGATTTTTTTATTCCCTAAACCTGATCCAAGAAACCTACACCTTAGAATCTGTGTTGTTGCATCATAGAAAATGGAGGATCAGTGACTGCTGGTCACCACTGCGTGGGAATTCCAGAGGAATCCCCACCTTATAGACACCTAACCAGAAGGGACAGCCTGCCTGAGTCCTATAGGTCCTCACAGGGCCAGGGTCTGCAGCCAGAGGCAGGCGTGGATATCCCTGCTCCGCACCATTTCTCCTTCTGTCTGCTCACATCACCTGGGTGAGAGCTGCTTTTGAACTTTGGGATTTCTGTCTAGGGAGAAACTACTGAGAGAGTCTCTCCTGCAGATGTGAACCAGAAGTCAGAGTGAGGTCATCCACTGATGGTGGGGGCTGGAGCCAAAAGATCCTGTGGGGTGAGGGCCAGGACACCGTGGAGAGCCATGGACAGGAGGGGCAGTGGGCGGGAAGGTGTGCCTGGGCTCATAAAGTGGGTTGAGGCCCTGGAAAGGGGTTAAAGACAGCCATCCTTGGGTGTCAAGGACTC